CCATGTTTTTTTCTCAACACACCTCCTACCATCATAGAAGAATACACTGTATTCTGCACACAGGACTGCTTCTCAGATTTTTGTTGCGTGTGTGCAGCACAAACTTATACAGAAATCATCCTCCCCAAACGCTCTGACTAAAATAGAAGACCACAGTTGTCTGACAAGGATCATTTGTGCTGCATTAGAGGTTGACAATTACTGGTGACATTTCACTTGACTGGGTTAAATAATTTTCCACTTTGGGCCATGTGCTTGCATAATAAATATCAGCAAGTCACATTCTCTACATTTCCCTCTCTGCTAACAGCTTAATGTCCTTAGTACCTGGACATCTCTTCCTAATGTACATCGATATACAGCGATTCTGATCTTTGACTTGCCTTTGGAACAGCGACACAGATTTTAAATAACAAATTATGCTTTGACATTAGAAGGTGCACTCTGTAATGGATATTGCAATCTGAAGATTCAAAGGGACCATCTGTGCTCTTTGACCTTAGCCTGGTAAGCTGGAGTCTTTTTTCTCTCCTACGCATTATTTGATTGTAGTACATAACCTTGGGATGTACTAATAATCATTAGTCAGAGCTGATATATCCTTTAAAGACCTGCCCTGGTAAGACAGGGAGATGTTCTCCAGAGCAGCAGTAAATCAGAAAAACATGCACTTAAATATACAGTAAAATGCAGTGTGAGACAGGATTCTTTGTACACCATATAACAAAATGTTTTACAGAGGGAGTCGCACATAAGTTAATGAGAAAAGAAAGAGTGTTTTTGAAATGAGATTTGCATTGGGCCTGTGTATGAAGTAAAGGCAAGGTTCTAGCCAGGCAAGGAATGGAAGGGGAAATTGTGTCCATCTCCCTTACACTTCAGAGAGACTTGGAGATGCTTCTCTGATGTCAGTATACAAGATGGGACTTCCCAGTGGAGCATTTCAGGGAGGGGTTGAAGAAGCCACCAGGTCTGTCCATTAACAGCCTGAACTCAACGACTTTGTGCACATCCTACAAAGCCTATTTATCCAATAGATTTTGGGAAAAAACTTGAGGATCTTTTCTTCAGGATGGATTATGCAGCTGTTTTGCTGCTTCAGTTTATTGGCAGGGTAAGTTGATTCATTTCTAGATGATTGTATTTTGCTATTGGGTAGTTATCATTTATGCTCCAAATTCTGCAGAATTCCTTAGGGCATTTACAACTCTTTGTGCAGGCATTTTTATATGTTAAAAATTAAATTACTAAGTAACAGCCTAAATCCTTCAGCTCAGCTTCCAGACCAACTGGATCCTCATCCCTGACTACTCAGCCCCTATTTTCTTCTAACTCTGGACTCCTATGACAGGTGAACACAGAATGTTTTGGCCTCTAGCATGCGAGTTCCTTATAGCTCAGGTCAGATAAGATGAACGTGGCTATTTCACTTCCTTTGACCTCGCTTGCTTTGTGGAACATTTAGTAGCCTACAGACACATATGTCAACCCCAGCTGGCAGAGACTTCCCACCAGATCTGACTAATACAAAGTCTGGGGCCTTATCCAAAATCAATTGCAATCAGTGCTGCTTCTGTTGATGATTGACCTTGCATTCAGCAGAGCAAGCTTGTGGATCCCAGTTGTACCAGTTACTAAAATCATGTTTGGAGCTGAGGTCAGTTGGATTGACAAGGCATCTTGAACTCTGCAGGGGGAAATCCTGGCCTCAGAGAAGTTGATGCAAAACTGCCATTGACTTAAGTGGGATCAGGACTTCTCCCGTGATTGCTTCCTAGGAGTTTGTTGCCTCTGAAAGTCATCTTAATGCATTTTGTGATTAGAATTAGTAAGCTTAGGAAACATTTAGTTCCTTGCCCTCTAGTGCTACTATGACCAGTCCCACAAATTCCCAAAGAGCAGGACAATTGCTTTGCGTTCGTTTGGCCAGAAGCTTCACCCTGCTACAGCCCCTTTGCAAAGCTTTAGTGCCACAAAAGGAATGGACCCAGGTGACATAGCATAAGGGAACAAAGTCAGGTAGGTACGGAAGGCCAGAATTATGTATCTTGAAGTTGAGCAGAAAGTGTTTGGTTTTGACTTGACAGCATGGAAACAGGTGAATCAACAGAAGCCAAAAATGTTGGGGATGTGGTCAGGTCATCATGCAAGGATAGGGTAGTATTTGCAACAGGTTGCATGGACTGGAAGGGCTGGCAGGAGCAAAGAGCCCAAGGAAGAGAATTCAGTAACCAAGTGAGGAAATGGTGAAAAGATGCACAGAGGTCAGTTAAAAGATTTATTTCTAAAAACTTGATTTTTTTTGTATGTGTAGCAGTTGAAGAAACAGTCCTTGTAACCACAGACATATGTCTGCATTTGATGCTCTTTACCTGCATCCCAGAACTGCTCCTTGCAATGACTCCTCAGCAGAAATGAACATCTGCCCCTTTTGCTGTTCTTCCATTAAAGGTCTCAATGCAAAGCATTTTGCTGAAGAATGGCAACTTTGGATCAGTGCACAGGCTTCCTTCTGCCAACCTGTCTTAGACACTGGGAGCCTTCCCTGCTGAAATGAATTGAAGGAACATGCTCAAATCCTCAGGTGTCCCAATAACGTAACACACAGTTACAAAGTACCATGATGATTTCTACTAAACCCAGATTTCTACAGAGCCTAATCAAATCATCATTCTAAGCAATTGTATTGTCTGCGTCCTAGCCTAATTCACCGTGTTCATTACCAGTATAGAGCAGATGAGCCCCTGTAATGCAGATCTCACTGTCCTCAAACACTGATGAGAGTTTGGGGTTTTTTACCCCAACAAGCACTTTATACTTGGGAAAAATTTTTTTTTTGTTCCATCTGAACAGCACCCAGCGCAGCGGAGTTCTGGTCCATGAGTAGAGATTTTACCATCATATAAATATTACTACTAGTTACATCAATACAACGCCATTATTATTAAAGATGGGATTTGCTCCAGTATCTCCATAAAGGGCCATAATGCTAACCTTTGCTTTCTCTACTTAACCTGGTAACAAGCAGTGTTGTGAGGTTGTTTTATTTTAAGCTTCCTAAGCTATAACAATCTAATAATATTAAACATGGACAGAGAGATAGTAGGAAGGACATACGTATTTGTAATTTATTCATAAACTGCTAAGCCATCATAAGAAACTTTTTAAATAAATTGTGATAGTTGTTTAAATATTTACTAGCTTGTTGACCTATTTTCTCAGTTAATTAGGATTTTTTTTGGATGTGTTAACAATGAATTGAATACAGTCTGTTTTAGAAACTAGACAGCTCAACTACATCAGGTTATATAAAGTTGTAATTTTAAGAATATGACATACAAGTAAAACTCCATTATAGGTCTGTAGCTTTCCTTTAAGTTTATAGACTTCTTAATAGATAAGCATCCTACTCACTAACCTAATGAATGTAAAAAACACTTGCTTAACTATGGTTTCTACTTAACAACAGCTTTTATATCGAGTTTTACTAATAAACTTCATAATTAGGCTATTATGCAAAAGCGTTGAATATTCTGCAGTGACAGGATGTGTGCTACTAGGTTCCTTGTAATAGCAAAGACCAATTAAACCTGTCAAGTTTACAGGCTCAGTTTGTACACTTGGTTATTGCGTAATTTGGGTTAATTCCTTTCTCCCTCCTATGTCTTTAATTTACTATGCCTGCAAAGTTAATTTCTGAAAAATTTGGCCATTTATGAACCATCAGGCTTTGAGCATAGACTTGCAAAAGCAAGCTCCTCTAATGAGACATACCAGCATCTATGTTACTAATTCATTAGCAAAAGAGCTAAATTCATTATGTTCTTTGAATTGCAAGTGTACAAATGACAGGGGAACAGCAAGCTTAACCAATTTCTGGGCTATCGTATGCCCTCTAAGACTCCTCTGAAGTCAGATGGAATGGATAGCATGTAAACCAGAACGGAATCAGTCCCACGTCGACTCTCAAAGGCAAGATTGTCCAGTTAGATTGGAGATGGACAAAGGTGTCCCTTGAGTATGTGTATTCACTTCATCTTTAGTAAAGCGATATAAGCCGTAGGGATTCCAGATGCATCAGCTTAAGCCAAAATGGAGCACTGCAGGTTGTGAGATGGACCGCTCTACAATGTGCACCTCTGTGTAAATCTCCATTGTATGTAAATCAAGTCTCTCTTTGAAAAGGTACCAAAGCAGCCCTTACTTTGGGGGAAATCTGAGTGCCTCCACGTTAGAGGCTTAGGCTAGGACGGGTGTACCAGTTGGTAGGAAAATGTAAGCATGCACAGAAATGTGGCTTCCTCCAGATTGTTGTTCATCTCAGCCTTGCAGGCAACAGGAAACTATTATTATTTTACTGTTCTGCCTAAATCTTATACTGAAAGTATTAAAGCATTAATGTCATCCAAGTGCTATTTTGTCAGCATGATCAGAGACATTTTTGTAAAGCTCAAGGCACAAAGATGCTACTACTTTGTCATTTGCCCTTTGGTGGGGTTTCCTGAAAAGACCTGAGAAGGATAATTTTCCATATATGTTCCTGCCAATAGCTTTATTGAACTGACTTACAGTAAAACAGAAAGGAAATGCTAGCTGTTAGGATTCAACAAGCCTTTTCATCAGGTGCAAATGGACAGGAAAGGGTTTTTTTCCATTTACACCTGATGGGAAGGCATGTTTCTCTTCCCCCCCAAGCTAACCTTTGCTGCCACGTATTTCATTCCCTTGGATCGGTTCAATAAAGCCCACAGTATCTACCTCCTGTGGATCAATTTTCTGAACTGATGTGTCATTTCTTTTTGTTTTTGAAGAGGAACTTGATTTCAAGTGTCAAATATTTTACTGGTTTGAGACATAACACACCCAAAAATCAAACTGTACAAAGTTCTAAGTGAGAACTGAGAGGTAAGATTGGTTGAGTTTTGTTTCCTAGAAGAAGAAAAGAAAACAACACACCACTAGAAACTTTTCCAGAGAATAAATAGGAGATGACACCAAAGTGCAGAGGAAGAATTTCTATTTCTGATCATACCTTAAGGCAACAAAGGAAACGTAATGGCTACAATAGCACAGTTAATGAGCAGGTATGCAATATTAATTATGTTAAGTGTAGCACATTAAACAATACGTCTACTTATATTTTCTTAGCATCTGTAACTTAGAATATCTATTTTTCATAACATCTGTAATTGAGTTAGATATATGTGCATTATGATCAGAACATGCATATATTTTCATTTCTCAGTCTATTAACCTGGATAGTTATATATCAGGAGCTACTCTACAGCTTCCTGCAATCATGGTAGGCATTCTGATTAAATTTTTACCATCCACCCTATCAAATCTATACAGCACTGCTTTAACTCTGCTAATTTGTAGGTACTTAGATGACAGATTTTTTCCCACTGCCAGATGGGCTGATCCAATTGTACTCTGCCTGGACCAGCACAAAGCTGTTTTCCCGTATCTTCCTGAAGTGCATCATCTCCCCGTTCTCTCTCACCGTGATGACATTGTTGTCGGGTTCACTGAAGGACACTTCCGTCCGCTTGTGACAATACTGGGAGTGGATGCAACGCAGCCCAGCAGCAAGGGCCATGCCAAGGGCAGCTGTACAACCCAGGAGAATGCCAAGTTGGGCTGCTACAAGATGCGTCCCTCTGGTAGGGTGCTCTCCTTTCCCAGGAACAGCAGCTTTAGGTACTGGCCTTGTCACCAACGGAAGTGGATTTCTAGCAATCTCCCCTATGTTGTCGTCCTCTCTAGACTCTGCATCTTCTGAATGGGGCAAGAAGTTTGCTAAAGTTTCTTGTGCCACTGACTTTCTTTCCATCATCTGCCTAGAAGCTGATGATAAGCTGCTGGAGGCATCCAAGTCATCTTTAGGTTGTGACATGCTACCAGTGACTGCCACGGGGTCAGTGGTCCAACTCCAAGCAGAGAGGGAAGCTGTAATATGCAACACAGGTTGTGTGATAGCTAGGTTCCCAGCATTCTCCTAGAAACCAAAACAGGAAAAATATTTGATATGGACAAAATAGCAGTTGTCACCAGTTCAAACCTACCCTAGCCTGGGAAGCACCATAACTCCTCCAGTGTTTGTCCAGCGACATTTGTGAAGTGAGTTGGTGGATTCAAACAACAACTAAAGGACACAAGTTCTCATTGTTAGCAACTCTTGAGTGATTTGTCTTCAGGGATGCCTGAGCTGGCTTTGATTTGGTCCCACTGGGACACAGCAAAGCACGTTGCTTGGGTACAGGGAGGAAGCTCTCCTTCCTGCCCCTGTCCCACAACCCCGTGTTGAGATGCCAGTCTCTGTATAAAGAAGGAATTGCAACTGCTACATTTGATACAATGGGCCAAATTCAGAGTGGTTCCTCCGTCCCATTTTGAGAGTTCAGGTGCCTAAATTTAAATTGCTCTTTGGAAAGGACTCTGAACCATGCCATCACAAAACTCATCAAGCATCTCCACTTTGAACTGCAGTGTCCTCTCAGTACCCATACTAGAGCTTCAGCCCATGCTCAGAGGCAATCCAGCTGAAGCACAGAAGTGCTCAGGCACTTGACAGTGCCCAACTCCTGCCTAAGCCCTATTGGGATTCAGAGTGTGACTGAGAGGCCTCCTACATACATTTCATCTCAGTCCCCAGGGAGGCCTCCACCAGCAGGCAGAAAATAAACACATCAAACTTCAAAAGCATTGAAGTAAGCTCAAAACTGGAGTGCTGCCCACCTTTTTCCCAGTAGCTTAGTTGTTACAGCTTTGTCTGGTGAAAGACTTGTTTTTAAACTAATGATAGTCTAATGTGCTGTCACTGAGCTGTTTATGCAGATTGTAGATGCCGTGCAAGTTACAGGGGTGGAAAAGGAGGTGGCAGCTTCTACCTTTTAGCCCAACAGCCTTGTGTGGTGACGGTATTTGCCCAGAGAACAGAAGACCCAGGTTCACTCACCCAGTGGGCTTTTGAACCAATATCTCAGGAAGTTTCCCAGAAAATGGCTTTAACCACCAAGCCACAGGCCTCCAGCTTGCCTCTTGAAAATGGCTCACTGGGCAGCTGAGAAGAGAATATCTGAAACCCCAAGGGGCAGCACAACCGAGGAACCAAGTGCAGTCCATAGTAACAGCCAACAAAGAGCTTGGTGTCAGGCTTTCAGCTTGCTGGTCCCAGGTTTTTCCTGCACTGGCAAGTAAGGGGAATTTGGAACCTGATCCCCAGTCCCAAAATCATGCATCCTGCCATGCATGTGTGGTATTGCAGGACATGCGATTACTGGGATTGGGGATCCCATCCCATTACACCTGTAAATGTCAGTGGCCTGAGTTTTAAAAGTGTCATAACAACAGAGCCCCACTTAAGTGCTGGGCTACTAAACTCTGCCATTACCACAATATTGCTTTGGTTTCCCACTCTGTACAGTCCATTTGAAAGCTGCAGCTTGCAAATGCTGAACCACGCAGTCCCATGTGAATTACTATTATTGCTAATTCCCATTCATTTCTCAAGCCAGGCTTGTTGCAGAGAATCTTATTTTTTCAGTCCCAGAATGACAGATCCTGTGTTACCCTTTAGTCAAAACTTCACTACAGATCTTAATCCAAGACTGGCAATCTAACAATTTTGCAAGAAATAATTCAAGCTCGCCATTCAATTACCATCTTCCCATTATGCACCCGGTGACAGATCCAAAATCCCCTGCAGCCTATGGGAATTTTTCACTGGAGTTTGAACCAAGCTGACTTCTGTGCTGCTTGTACAACCTGACAGGCTCTTTAACACATCCAGCAATTGCAGTAGAGAAGCTCTCACCCTTCACTGTCATTAGTGGGTGTTTGCAAAGTTCACTGGGAAGAAAGGCTGGCAGGCACGCAAAGAAGAGGTAGGAATTTAGGGAGTTGTGTACCAAGATTTGAGTGCATAACCGATCTCAGTGAATGTCGTTGTAACACACAGGACAGAAATAAAAGAATGTAAATGGTTAAAATGAAGAATCTGAAGTCACCCAATAGCAATCTTAGTATGGTACAGGTAACTGGAAGAGTCCTTCCTCCCAAATTTCCAGGAAACCAGGACATATTAGGGAATTACATGGAATGAAGGTATTTACTAACTTTAAAACATATCTTGTATAGATCCCTCCTCCATCTCTTCACTGTTTCTTTCTCTCCTATTTTGGACTTGTTCAAGTCCTCCTTGATGGATCAGATAGTTTTTTTTCCTCTTCTTTCCCCCTCCCCCTTTCCTTCTGGCTCGCTCTATTCGTTGGAAAGTAGCTTGTCCTTGCCTCTCCCTCAGTTTCCTTGTCCATCCTCTTTGCCCAAGGGCATGTTACATTGTCTCTCCCCATCCTCTCTATTGCGCTTATTCTCTCCTCTCTCCCGTTTCCTCCTTTCTTTCATGATTCTCCTGAATATTTCTCATTTGTCCTTTCCTGTCTCCACCTTTCCTTCTTTTCATGGCATCCCCTGTTTATTTGCCTCTCTTGTTCCCCTGTTCTCAGCACAGTGGTTTCCCTCTGACCATAAGAGTTCTCTATCCCCCAGATCTCTCACCTACATCCACTCTCCATCACCTGCTGCTTTCCCTGGGCACATCCAAATGAGTGCACATATGTAGTATGCACTTGCAGGCATTTCCCAAGCTGCTAATTTGCACTATGAGAGCTGTCAAAAAAATCCACGCCTAAAAAAAGCAGGATGGCACAAGTGGCAGCAGCATGGCTGAGTGGCCAGAGCCACACTCCAGCTGCCAGCCAGACTCCCCACTGCCAGATTGCTGCAGCTGAAGTCCCCAAAGGCCCCCAGGACCCCTGGAAAGGCTGCTGAGACCAGTCCAGGTGCTGGCACCAGCCTCCCCTACCCCACCCAGGGCCACATGCTGCACCCCAGAGTGCACAGGCGTTACTGAGGGACAAGCAGCAGTGGCAGATATTGTGCCACTGCTGTTTTTCCCTGGGGAAACGTACATTCCCAATCATGGGGATGCACCCCCTAGTTCCTGTCATTTCCCCCAATTAATTTCTCTACCTCAACCTCACCGTCCACCAGTCTTTTTCCTTCCAGTTCCTCCCTCCTTCATTGCCTTCTTCTATCCCTAGCTCACACCTTTGCACCTCCATAGTGCCTCCTTCCAATTCATTGCTTCAGGCCTCCAGGGACTCCATAAAGTTACTTTTTCCAGGACTTCTCCCTCCTCAGACTCCTCTGGTTTCCTTTTCCTAGTTCACATCTCTCTGCCCAATGCTATCAGTTTATCACTTCAGCCTCTGCCACCACCCAAAACTACTCCAGTCTTCTCAATTCAGCCATCACCCTCAGGACCATCTCTATGTCTAGCACCTGATAGTACAGCCTCAACTTGCCTACTTTAATCAACCCTCCAGTGGACCTCTGCCTCCACCTTCATCTCCCCTATATCCCACAGTATTTGGCATACAAGTGTCCCCTTCACCTCTGTATGTTGTCATGTATGAAAGATGGAAGTGGGGCAGGGACTGTTTGTAGAACCAGGTCCCTGCCCTGCTACGCATATGCTGCCTTCTCCAAAGCACAGCAGGGAGGAAACAGAAAGCAGCCTTTAGGCTCCACTGCAGCACCTGACTGGCAGCTATGGGACTCTTCAGCCTGGAGAAGCGCAGGCTCAGGGGTGACTTGGTGGCAGCCTATAAGTACATCAGGGGTGTGCATCAGGATCTGGGGGAACGCCAGAGCACCCCAAGGGAGGACGAGGTTCAACAATCACAAACTCTTGCAAGACCATTTTAGGCTGGACATAAGGAAAAACTTCTTTGCTGTCCGAGCTCCCAAGGCCTGGAACAGACTCCCCCCAAGAGGTGGTGCAAGCACCTACTCTGGACACTTTTAAGAAACATTGGACACTCATAACTTCTGCTCTTGGGCAGGGGGCTGGATCCAATGATCTTACAAGGTCTCTTCCAGCTCTAATGTCTATGAAACCTATGAAACTTCGTGACCAAAGGAGGACACTGCTCCTGAAATAACCTGCAGCTCAGGTGCTCCCTCTGTACTGTACCTGCGGCCAGTTTCACAAATGGTTTACGCCTGGCCCAGATGCCAAGTAAAAGTAGGAACAGGCAAAGTCTGTTTTACACACTCCCAGAGGCACTAGGTGTTGGCTACAGCAGGTCTATGTTGTGTCAGGTTGAGGTCTTATGTAGAGTTTAGATTATGGATTGTATAGGATGGTTTGGAGGAATGATCCTGCCTCAGGTAGGAGTTTGGACTAGATGAACTCTGGAGGTCCTTTCCAGGCCTACTTCTCCATAATTCTATGAAAGATATAGGCAGAGACCCTCAACACAATGGGCTGAGTCCCATCTCACCCATAGTGACTTTGCATTGGTCTAACTGCTTTGACATCAGTGAAGTCGGTCCTGATATACACAAGGGTGAGCGAAAGCAGAATTAGACAGTATACCTATGCATGCATACCTAAGATGGGCTACAGAGGATTTCTGGCCGTCTCCCCTGGAACAACAACATTCTTATGCTTAAATATAATAGAAACTTCATATATGCTTTGGACCAGCGGTGCCCAACCTTCCAGCCCCATAAGCCAGAGGAGTGGCATGGGATTGGTCTATGACCCAGATCCTGCACAGATTCAGCTTATAGGGTCAGTCGTCAGATGTAATCCCACCCAGCCCCAGGTGCCAAATGCAGCTGCTCACCAGCCCAACCCCACATGCTGGATCTGGCTACGCGCACACAGCCCAACCCGCCGGCACCCAGATTCAACCATGGAGCAACTCCTCCCAGGTGCAGAAATTTGGCAGCAGGGGAGTGGCAGTTAATGCTGCACCACTTGCCTACCATCAAATTTCTAGACATGGGGGGACCCCACAGGTAGGATGACACAGGTCTGCAGGTGGGATCTGGGCCATGGGCTGGAGGTTGAGCTTCCCCACCTTAACAGCCTGGTATTCCAGCTGGAAATAAGATGTGGGACATTTCACTTCCTAAACTAAAAGCAAGCTGCGTTTGGACATTCAGAAATGCAGGCTTCCCAGGCAGTTGCACCTGCTAAAACACATTGCATTTTCAAACACATTCATGAAAACTGTCATATATCCCACTATTTCAAAGTAATAGCGCTTGCACAGCATTTTGCTACACATGTCCACTGACAGGGACCACGCAAAATCAGCATGTACAAAGCAGTGGCTATTTTAAAGACATTTACACGTGGATCAAGTAAGACTAAATGGGGAAAATAAGTGAGTTAACCCATCCATTGCTGTAATAAAAGGACACTGAGAGAAGCAGCATTTAATGAAGATGCAAGTATTGGCATTGTGTAGGACAGCTAAATGTGCATCAATATCTGTATTTCTTGTCATTGCTGCAGAAATGCTTGGCCTGGGGCTTTGGGTAAGGCCCATTTCTCCCACATCTATTTGTGAAATTTCCCCGCAAAGAATACAACTGCCTGAGCCTCAGAGCAGACAACAGTGAGCCCTAGATGTCTGTCAGGTTTAATATCCAACATCTATCAGCTCTTTAGGGGTAGGAATAGGGTCAGTATACCAAAGGGAAAGACAGTTCCCAGTCTTCCACTGTAACAAACTGCTAACATCCAGCCCAATAACATCTCAAGTTGTCACTCGTTAAAAGCATTTCATTTCTATGTTATTTTAGACCTTTTCTTTTCCTGCAGTTCAACCTAGAGCAATCAAAGTGTGCACCTCAAAAGCTGAAATACAAAAGCCTGATACAATAAAAATATTGAAAACTCTCAGTAACGGTGTTAAAAGAGTTTTAGTGATAGAAAGCACATACCGAACATATACTGCTGCAATGAAAAAGAAAGACATTGGCATGTTCTGCTAAACTTTCACCTGCTCCCAACAATTTCCTATTTTTATAGGGAAAAAAATCCCCACATAATTCTTACCCGTACATCTTCTTCACATGTCAAACACGGCTGTGCTGTAGCTGCACTTGAGATGCTTTGCGTTCTAAAATATGGAAAAATTAAGTTTAATATTTTATATATCTGTGCAAATCACAGTCTATAATATGGGACACTAGAATAGCATCCTGGCACCCAAGCTCATGTTGCTGAGTGAGTCCCACAGAAAGAACAAGCTCACAGTCAAGTGTACTTCCATCCAATACACATAAGGTAATGGAGGACATTTGTTGCCATATATTTTGAAACGTGCCTGCACACACATCCCGACACACAAAGGCTGCATGCATGCCTACTGGGCCCAATACTGTAAAACGTTTAAATAAGAGAGTAGGCCTCCAAAAGCCATCATTTTGTGATCAGTTAATTCTCTTTTCCCTTCTCCCCAGTGATGGAAGAACATACCTGCCAAATATAGTTTCTTCAGATAGTTTCATCTAAAAACTGATGAAAATAACCAAATTGTGAAATTTAGCTGATCTTTTTCATTGTATTTTCACTCATGTTGATCTGAACACTCCAAGAATTTAGGTTATACTTATAGCCCTGGTGTCTGTGTACCTCTTTCTGAGTTGTGGTTAAATAATGGCCCATTGTCACTTTATATCACACACAACCCTAGAAGGATTTGAATCATTTTCCAAATCCCAAGATCCAAGTGCCTGCCAGGAAGGCACAGCTCTCACCAAAGACGCTGCTTATTTCATAGAGAAATTGGTACTAACTTACTCCTTCCATAACCTTTTGAAAAGTAATTGTACCCACATTGCATACATTATAGCCAGTATTCACACAGTACCCATCATGTGTGATGTGGCTGGAGGTATAATCCTGTAAAATGAAACTTCTCAGGGCATTTGCCATGTCTAGCTCTTGCAGCTCAAGTGATGGTTCCAGTCCCTGAACCTCAAAAGTGTTGCTTCTGTTGGCTTGTCTTCCTCCATGGCTGCGGCTGACACTCAAGGCAGCTGACTCCATAGGAGGCTCGGACAGTTGCCTGTCATTACCAAGAAGTTCTGCATCTTGTTCGCCTCCAAAAACAGTCTCCAGTATTTTTGTCACTGCCATCCTAGTCACTCTGCCAGGCACAAATTTTGCATACAGGGTAAAACTGGTGACAGTCTGGAGAGAAGCGGAACCTTATAAAACACAAAACAAAGCAGGAAAAAAGCGTGTTTCTACCTGTTGTTTTCTTCCACCCTGATTTGTAAAATCCTTTTAAAAAAAAATGAGCAGCAAAACAGTATTACATTTTATTTGTATAACACTTATCTAAAATAGAAATCAAGGTAATCCATAGAAGCTGGAGAATTAATTATGGGAAGGCAGGGGCTGTATTAATTTATATATCCAGGAAAGAAAATCCAAATCATGGTTCTATGGCAAATATGTTTTTTAAATGCTTATTTTAAAATGCAATCCAAGTTCATTGTTCTTCACTTCACTAACTTGAGACTGAAGAAGCAAAAGGTAAATGGGTCCCTGTTCCACCCCTTTTTATATTTCCATCCAAAAGCTCTGCTTACTTCAGACTGAGAGAAAATACACAGTTGCACAGAAAAAGCCAGACATATCCTTATAATGAAATAGCATTGCTAACTGCAATGATTTCTCTTCAGGAACTGGGGCTTTAGGCAAAACACTGGATAGAGGAAGTCAGTGATTACATGGTGGTAAGTTCTGGGGGAATGCCCGTTCACCAGAGCACCCCAAGGGATGGCAAGGTCAAACTCCTCCAAGACCGTTTCAGGCTGGACATAAGGAAGAACTTCTTTACTGTCCGAGCCCCCAAGGTTTGGAATAGACTGCCGCTGGAGGCAGTTCAAGCACCTACTTTGAACACCTTCGAGAGACATTTGGATGTTTATCTTGCTGGGATCCTATGACCCCAGCTGACTTCCTGCCCCTGGGGTAGGGGGCTGGACTCGAAGGTCTTCTGAGGTCCCTTCCAGCCCAAATGTCTATGAAATCTATGAAGTTAGCCAGGAGGCAGGACAGGGTGTCACCTTATAGCAGAGGTGGGCAAAACACTGCTGGTGGGCTGGATCCAGCCCAGCAACTGAGTGCAGCTGCTCCAGTGATGCTCCGCATGGGGCTGAGCCCACCCAGGGCAGCCAGCACTGCACTCCTGCCTGCGCCTACAGGCCCTGGCCCCAGCCCACGTGCAGAGCTTCTAGCAGGGCTGGTCCCAGTGCAGCTGCAGCTGCCTAGGTGGTGCTCGACTCCCCTCACCTCCAGTGGTGGCGGCTCCTCCCACTCCTGCCCCTGCTGTACTGCTCTGGGTGGGGAGGAAGCTGCAGCTCGGTGGCTCCTGCCCCAGTGTGTGGGGCTCCAGCTCCAGCCCCTAGATGCCTTCCACCTACTCTGCCCACCTGGCACGATGAGTAGCCACCTGCAGGCAGCTGGGAGCTGGGAGCTGGAACCAGAGACAGAGCCCCGCACACTGGGGCAGGAACAGGAGGAGGAGCCACTGGAGGCAAGGGGGCT